ATTGAAAAATGGGTCGTGGATGGGTATTCCAGCATGACAACGACCCAAAACACACGACCAAGGCAACAAAGGAGTGGCTCAAGAAGATGCACATTAAGGTCCTGGAGTGGCCTAGCCAGTGTCCAGACCTTAATCCCAAAAAAAAATCTGTGGAGGAAGCTGAAGGTTCGAGTTGACAAACGTCAGCCTCGAAACGTTAATGACTTGGAGAAGATCTGCAAAGAGGAGTGGGACAAAATCCCTCCTGAGATGTGTGCAAACCTGGTGGCCAACTACAAGAAACGTCTGACCTCTGTGATTGCCAACAAGGGTTTGCCACCAAGTACTAAGTCACGTTTTGCAGAGGGGTCAAATACTTATTTCCCTCATTAAAATGCAAATCAATTTACAACATTTTTGACATGCGGATTTTTGTTGTTGTTATTCTGTCTCTCACTGTTCAAATAAACCTACCATTAAAATATAGACTGATCATTTCTTTGTCAGTGGGCAAACGTACAAAATCAGCAGGGGATCAAATACTTTTTTTCCCCTCACTGTATATTCGATGTATAGTGTTTACTTAGAATAGAATCTCTACACAAATCTTACAACATTGTTAAAGGGCAACAGGGTTACTACTTCTCCGGAGGAGTGCACGCATCACAAGCCACTATACCAACCCAAATGACCCTCGCAATAACACAAAAACCAACACAGTCACACAACAACCCGACAACCACGGCCTCACCGACTTACTCCACCACGAATGCTAGTGGGAGAAAACCGCCGAGCAAAACTCTGAAGGCACGCACGACGCACCACCCGGCTCTGGAAAAGACCAAACAAAAAAAAAAGGCTCCTTACACCACCTCAGTGGATCGATCGCAGCCACCTCGAGCCGGATCAGCCCCAGCCACCTGGAGCCGGATCAGTCCCAGCCACCTCGAGCCAGTTCAGCAGGCCACCTTGAGCCGGATCAGGAGCGTAATGAAATTCCCCGCCCCTTCCTCTTGGTTCCCCATAGCGGGGCCTTTTATTGAATCACACCCTTGGGTCCTTCCCCCCATTTGATTGGCACGGCGTGCCCACGAGTCCAAACCCCCGTGCGCACGAGCCAATCCAATACCACGCACCTGCAACCACTTTCACACAAAGCCACCCCCGCGAGTCCCTCGCTTCTCCCCAATCTAAGAAACACCCTGCTCCCCAAAGCTATCACTCTGACTGCCACACACGTATGACAACGTTATAATTAGTGTTGTGGAGAATGTGTCTCCTATACGTAACTTTTAAGTGGTATGCCTTGTAACTGATGAATGATGTGAATGTTCCTTATTTCAAAGACAATGACTTGTTCCAGAGGCAGATGCTTCCTGAATCACGAAAAATACCAGTTGACCCGTATCACAAGAACAACAGCTCTCACGTGATTTATCTGTACAGGTGACTTCCAAAACACACACTTTCTCCTACAAACATGTGTTCCATGTTTGACCCTTATAAACAAAATGTTACATGTACGCACACAATCAGACAAGTATTCATTACATTTCATTCTAAATTATTGATAGGCATATTGACAAAATGTAATTACTGCACTGAAATGTACTTCATCGTGTTATATCGTATTTACAAGAAGTTGATCTCTGTCAGATGAGGCCTACAACTGCAGTACTCAGATTAAAGGAAGCCAAGTGGTATTGTATTCTCCTTTTGTTGCAGAGGTTCAAGCTTCAAATCCGACAGGCATCCCTGGTTAGTCCAGGAACATTAATTACAAATATGCACCGTCTTCTTAACATCTGATTCTAAAACATACTATTGTGTCATTTACAATGAGTATGCGATTGTATGCTGGCGTTGTGGTAAAAATTTGGCAAATTCGAAACATTACCCACAAAATACACAACTGAGATTACACATCAATCATCGCCCCCTATTAACAGATTCATGCCCACATGCAGGCTGGTGCAGGACCACCTTATGCCACACAGAGGCAGCTGCCACTTGAGGGTGCTTGTTGTATATATTGTCTTGAAAAAAATCATGAAATTGTATTATAGTATGCTAATTTAAATTCGGCCTGGCTTCGTTATCTAGGGGTGTATTAACAATCGTGAAAATACAATGTAAAATGTGTAATTCTATACAATTATGCAAATTTATGGAATTATGTACATGTAATTATGCAAATTAGGCTTAACTTCGTTGTCGAGGGCAGGGGTCCCCAACCCCCGGGCCACGGACCGGTTCCGGTACCGGTCCGTGGCCCGGGCCGCACAGCAGGAGGCGAGCGAGTGAAGCTTCATCATCTGTATTTACAGCCGCTCCCCATCGCTCACATTACCGTTTGAGCTCCGCCTCCTGTCAGATCAGCAGCAGCATTAGATTATCATAGGAGCGCGAACCCTACTGTCAGGGGTGCCGCCAGAAATTCTGGGCCCTATGGAAACCAAAATTTCTGGGCCTCCTACATTTTTTACAGATAAAATTTAACCCAATAAACATGCCCAGTATACTTTAAAAAAGATACTTAGCACATTGCATAGTTAAAATGTCTAAAGATGCGTACAAAACCTACAAAAACAAGAAAAATATATAGAAATATGTACTTGTTTACATAAAAGGGAGAACATTTATTATCTCAATTGCAATTGCAAGCACAACAGAACATAATGTACACATATTGACATATACTTTACATGAAGAAGCTTTAGCTGGGTCAAACTGCTCAATCAGGAAACATCAGTTAGAACTAACCCATAATTAAATCAGTCCAGGAATAAAACTAGCTAGGCCAAAAGGGCTCAAAATGAAGACACACCAGGAGTAATGCCAGGCCTAAACCAGTCCAGGACTAAACAAGTACTGAACCAGACATCAACTGTTTGTTATCCAGGTCTAACAAAGTTATGTTCAACATCACTTTATAATGGCCCAGCAGCGTGCCATTCTGCTGGCAAAATCACGTATCAAATCATCAAAGTTCAGCTTTCTTGCCAGTTTGCTTTCAATGGATAGTATGGCAAGGTGACAAAGTCTATCCTGCAACATAGCAGACCTCAGATATTTTTTTTTATCAGTTTCAGCTTACTGAATGCTCTCTCGCCACCAGCAACGGTCACAGGCAGTGTGCAAAATATTCGCAAAACTATGCAGACCTGCCCAAAAATACTCTGCAGCTGCATCTTGTAAATGCTGTTGAGCAGATAAATTGGTGACATACACCCTGGGAAAGTGGCCCTATATACAGAGTTGAGGTGTCTGACTTCATCTTCAAATTCACAAGTCAGATCAGTGTTGTATTTTGAAATCAATGGCTGGCATACAGAATGGATTTGATCATCACGTAACTGACCCATTTTTACAACTACAGAAAACTGATCCAAGATCTCAGCTGTTGTGGCAAACCTGGTACTTAAGTCATTGATTATGTGGTCCATCATGGGAAGAAACACAGTGTTTCTGAATATGGTGTCTGCACTGTGCTCCCTTGCTCCCTCTACCTCTGTCTCATCGTGAAACCGTTTTCTTTTCCTCTGGCGGCTGAATCCTGACCTGAACAGAGGGTTAATGCTCATCTGTTGGGCAACAAGTGATGCTTCAGAAAAGAAACTCTCCCATTCATCCCTCAGATGTTGCATCTCTTCCTGCAATGCTCTGATATTTTCTGCCTCTGTCTCAAGAGTTAATTTCCCTGACTGGAGAATAATATTCCTTTTGTCAATGGCTTGCAGAACTTTGACCCAAACAGTCAACAGAAAAACAGTATCAAAAGTTTCAAAATACTTTTTTAGGCCGCTGGCTTCAGACCGAGCCTCTGGTGTCAGACTGCAGGTTGAGAGGATGGCATCAAGAGCTTCTAGGACACTGGGCAGGTGCTTGGCTATAGGTTGAACAGCCTTAACCCTTGCACTCCACCGAGTGTCTGACAGACGATGTAAAGTGCAACCCGTTTTGCCTTATAGATGGCCCATCGCTCTGGGCTGGCACTAACAAGTGCATAAAGACGATTGACAAAGCCAAACAAGTTGGTAACCTCTGGACTTGATTGAGCTGCATGCACACCAACAAGGTTCAGAGTATGAGACGCACAAGGGGAAAAAGTAGCCAGCTTATTCTTTTTTAATAATTGGGCTTGAACCCCCTTGATTTTTCCAGACATGTTTGCCCCATTATCATAGCCTTGGCCCCTGCAGTCATTCAGATCTATGCCATGACTGTTAAGCACATTTACAATCATGTCTGCAATCTCACTTCCTGTTTTTTTGTGAAAATCTTTAAACTCCAAAAACCTTTCAACAACCTCCCATTTCTTGTTTTCTTGATCAAAACCTACATATCGTAAGAGTAATACATTTTGCTCTGTATGTGAAATATCAGGAGTAGCATCGCAAATGACTGAATAATAGACTGATTCCTCCCTTTCCTTAAGAATACTACTTAACACTCGTTTTCCATATAACTCAATAAATTCGTTCTGAATATCTGAGCTTAAATAGTGTGTCAATCTTGTTCCTGTTTTTTTTGTCTCTGGCTTTTTGTAGATGTTCGTTGAGTAGTGGGTCATAATGGGACAGGAGCTCAAGGGTGCCCAAGAAGTTGCCATTATGAATGTCCCCCAGGTCTTTTGTTTTACCCCTAAAGGGTAAATTTCGAGAGGCCAAGAACAAGGTTACATCTAGTATCCTCTTCAGAATAGCTCTATTTTTGTCTATTTCTGTTTGTATGAGCTCCTTCAGCTTGCTGTCTATTCCCCCAGGGACAGCTGCCATTACAGACTGTTGTAAGGGTTTCCATTTTAAGTAGCACTCCGTGTGCTTTGCTGCTTTCGTGGTTATGGAATTTATCATACATTCGACACCATGTTATGTCTTTGATTTTATAACCATGTTGACTGCTTAGTGCGCTCATACAAGGTTTCTTTAGCTGATGACCAAATAATACACAAGGAATACAAAATAGTGCATTTGTGCTTTGGCTGTAAATGACCCAGTCTCTCTTAATCTTTTCCCTGCAATTTCCTGGCTTTGTGTACTTGAGGTATTCGGGGAAGGCTTTACCTTTTGAATCATGTGGAATTTCTTGTTCTTTATCTTTAGAAGAAGCTATTTTTTCCACAATTTTTTCTCTGTCTGCATTGCTAATTTTTGCTGGCCACAAACCAGGATCATTTGACACAACAGTCTCTTCTTCATCTTCCTCTGAGTCTGCTCTCATGGCTTCCCCTGTTCTCTCATCTTCCTCTGAGTCTGCACTCATGGTTTCCCCTGTTCTCTCATCTTGCTCTGAGTCTGCTCTCATGGCTTCCCCTGTTCTCTCATCTTCCTCTGAGTCTGCTCTCATGGCTTCCTCTGTTCTCTCATCTTCCTCTCTTCTGTTATCTTCCTTTACACTTAGGGCTCCCTCTGTGCTCTCATATTCCACTATTCTCACCGCTTCCTCAACTTCCACACTCTTTCCTGGTAAAACTCTCTGTCTCTCTCTTGTTTCTGTGGGGTTAGGATAGCAAAATCATTTTTGTCCCCCAGTCAACAACAAGTTACAGCTTAGAATTAATATTTTCTTAACTGCATTGTTGAATAATATTATATGAAACATATAACTATACAACATAAGAAAAAATTAGACAATCCAAAACTTAATTAGTTTTTTACTACCTTGGTAGCTGACCATGTTCACCTTACCTGACACTGAGAGGACTGGGTCATTAGGAGAACGAGGTGCAGACAATAAAGCTGACTCTGCATCTGTATAAGTCAAACACACGCGTAATAATAACCATATTATTTTTATTGGCCTATTTAGTTTTCTTAATATAAAATATTAAAATATCTATTTTGTAAACTCCTTATAGCCAGACACATTTTTATTCAATTTTATATTATTTTTTTCTGGGGCATTTTATTGACATTAAGAACGTCAAGTTTGACAGCATCGATCGTAGCAGCAGCACTGTCACTTCACAGAACACACGACACACACACGGCAAACTGATTTTGTAATTTTTGAAGCGCGTAGATTACTTTTTGTTTTGTAAAGTTATCATCATGTGGCGAACACAGTAGATAAGACGTGTTTAGAGGCTTCAATCTTCGTGAAGTTTCGCGCTCAGGCTCACCTTGTTCGGCTGAGACGGGGACGGGGGACGTGGGGGAAGGAGGACGTGGGTGTGCAGCAGCCGCTGAATCTGTGTCTACGAGACATGATAACCCCGGAGACAGCAGAGATGTTATTATTGTTGGATGTAAATCATAATTCAGTAATTATTTTACTAAGCTAGCTAGATAAAAGCAGGTCATGTAGCAACAAAAATAAGTAACTCTGAAAGTTTTGGAATACAGGAATAGGGCAAGCTACCTTTCTTTTTGAAAAACTGTGTGACATACTGTCGACTTCGGCGTTCTCTGTCTTCTCTTTCCTTCTTTTCTTTCCGTTTTTGATGCCCTGACTTTTGATGTGACATGCCTGCGTGTGTCACTGTCTGCACTGCATCATAGCAAGTGCAATAAGCAAGAGACGCTACACTAGCGATCGTAGCTCGGACAGCGCAGGTGGAATGAACCATTGTGAGGGGGAGGGGTGTGACTGAAACAGTAAATACATTATTTGTTTTTGTTTTATTATTAAATCTATGGTCAAAACGGGCAAAATAAACATTTAGTGCATGAGGGGCCCCAGCACATTTAATGTATTTATAAAAAAGAGAAAAGAAATAAGAAAAGATAAAGGGGGTCTGCTCTTCTGGGCCCTAAATCAGCCTGGGCCCTTAGAATCGTCCTAACCTTCCACCCCTTTACGGCGCCCTTGCCTACTGTAAACTGCGCATGCGAGGATCTAGGTTGCGCGCTCCTTATGAGAAGTCAGAATCCGACACTTATTTTAGTCCGCGCGTGGCCCGCCCATTATTTTATTTACCACTTCTGTCCGCGCGTCTTTCCCGCACTGCGCACTTGTCTCAATCACAGTTTTGGTAAGCTCACAAGCTAACCCTAGCCAGAATGAGTAAAAAAACAAACGTCGCTGGAGAGCTTCTTTGAAAAGGGGGAAAGACCCAATGATGAGACAGCAGAAGACTCAAAGACTGCCAACAAAAAGAAAGCTGCATTTAAAAGAAAATACCTACTTAAATTGCGGGTTCATTGCAACAGGTGATTCACATTCTCCAAGCCCGCTTTGTATAATATGTGGCGGCCGGCTATCTAACGAAACCATGAAACCTTCAAAACTGCTTCACCACAATGAGACCAAGCACACTGCATTAAAAGATAAGCCTTTGGAGTTTAAAAAAATAAAAAAAACGTGAACACGAAGAACAGAAGCAATTATTCAAGGTGACCACTTCATGAAATGTGTCTGCACTGAGAGCATCATTCTTAGTGGGTAACTGCATTGCTAAAGCTAAGAAGCCCTTTACTATTGGTGAAGAGTTAATCCTGCCTGCTGCTAAGGACATTTGCCGTGAACTTTTAGGACAGGCTGCAGTTCAAAAGATGGCACGTGTTCCTCTTTCGGCTAGCACCATAACTAGACGAATAGATTAAATAGCAGAGGATAATGAGGCACAATTGTTAGAGAGGATTAATGAGTCACCAATCCAGGTTGACGAGTCTACCGATTTTGATTTAAAGCTTTCGTGACTGCAGTAATTCATATTCTTAGTTTTTTCGGTAAAGTCACGTTGAAGAGAAACAACAAAATAACAAAATATATATAAAACAATAAAAAATTCTCACGACGTTTCGACCATAACACAAACGGTCATCATCAGGTGTAAAAAGCAACGGCAAGAAACATTTGAAAGAAGTGGCGGTTTGCATTTATTTATTTTTAAACGGTATATTTATTTATTTAAAAAAAACGTTAGCACCACGGGCAGCGACTTGGCAGTTTATTTAGAAGGACGAGTCCATCTATGTTCTGAATAGAGGAGGGGGGAGACGAAAAATTAATGTATGCTGTCTGAAAGCCACCGTAAGCGTGAACAATCAATTAAGACCTTAAATTGTTTATCAAATCCTTCCAATGATTGCTAAGCCAGAATCCATCTTCTCGGTTGAAATTGTCTCTGTGCTTGTATATGTGGATAACCTCATGAACGAATCTCTCATGGTAGCCAGATGGCTTACAAAGAACCTCCGTCTTGGAGAAGTCAATGTCATGTGAGCCTACTGAATTATAACAATGATCTGCCATGGCCGATGTGTTGGTCCTACCGTGTTTAAGGTCTGCTTTGTGTTCACGAATGCGGTCCGAGACATGGCGTTTGGTTTCTCCAATGTAACTACTACCACAGAGGCAACTTAGTTTGTAGACACCAGGGTACTGTATGTCTGGAATCACATCTTTTACAGACGGAACCAGATCATGGATTTTATGTAATGTGTTGAAACGGACCTGGATCTTGTGTTTATTCGTGATAATTTTTATTGTTTTATATATATTTTATTATTTTATTGTTTCCCCCCAACGTGACCCCACCGAAAGAGCCAAGAACATATACATTTATAATTCACATGAATAAAAAAAAACGACCAGGACACTATTAAAAAAAAATACATGGAAAATAAAGAAAATACAGTGTGCAAAACAAACAATTGTAGATGTAATTTTTGATTTAAAGCTTTCGTGACTGCAGTAATTCATATTCTTAGTTTTTTCGGTAAAGTCACGCTGAAGAGAAACAACAAAATAACAAAATATATATAAAACAACAAAAAAAAATTCTCACGACGTTTCGACCATAACTCAAACGGTCATCATCAGGTGTGTTGGTTTGCATTAATTTATTTTTAAAACGGCAAATTTATTTATTTATAAAAAAAAAACGTTGGCGTCACGCGCAGCGATTGGCAGTTTGCCCAGGACTAGTCCATCTATTTTTTTTTTTAAAAGAGGAGGGGGGAGATGAAATTTTTTATAATGTATGCTGTCTGAAAGCCACTGTAAGCGTGAACAATCAATCAAGAACTGAAATGATTTATCAAATCTTTCCAATGATTGCTAAGATAGAATCCATCTTCTCGGTTGAAATTGTCTCTGTGCTTGTATATGTGGATAGCCTCATGAACGAATCTCTCATGGAAGCCAGATGGCTTACAAAGAACCTCCGTCTTGGAAAAGTCAATGGCATGTGAGCCTACTGAATTAGAACAATGATCTGCTACGGCCGAGGTGTTGGTCCTACCGTGTTTAAGGTCTGCTTTATGTTCACGAATGCGGTCCGAGACATGGCGTTTGGTTTCTCCAATGTAACTACTACCACAGAGGCAACTTAGTTTGTAGACACCAGGGTATTGTATGTCCGGAATCACATCTTTTACAGAAGGAACCAGATCACGGATTTTATGTAATGTGTTGAAACGGACCTGGATCTTGTGTTTATTCAAGATTTTGGAGATCTTTTTTGTGATCCCAGCAATGTAGGGTAAAGTGATGGTTTTGAAAGGCTCCTCAAGAGGGTTCTTCTTCATGGTTTGAGTGATAGCTTTGCGGATTGTATAGTCGGAGTAACCATTAGCCCTAAGAGCTTGGTGTACGTGCTTGAGTTCACTGTTTATGTGTTCCTGGTCGGATATGCATTGGGCTCTATGATACAGAGTCTTGATGAGAGAATTCTTCTGTGATGGATGGTGGTGGGAATCCGGTTTCAGATAAGCATCCGTATGGGTAGCTTTCCTGTAGACAGAGTGGCTCATTGAACCATCAGGTCTCTTTTTAATTAGGACATCCAAAAAAGGTATCTTGCCATCTATTTTGACTTCCATGGTAAATCTGATGGCTGGGTGTATGGAATTGATCTGGTCGAAGAATTGGTCTAGAGCAGGCCGGCCATGTGGCCAGATGACAAAAGTGTCATCCACGTACCTCTTCCATAAGGTTGGGCGCAGAGTGGCAGTCTGGATGGCGTCAGTCTCAAATTTCTCCATGAAAATGTTAGCTATAACTGGAGAAAGGGGGGAGCCCATTGGGGTGCCCTCAGTTTGTTTGTAGAAAGTTCCATTCCAAGTGAAGTATGTATTGGTTAAACAGTGTCTCACCAGGGGGGGTACCTCAGTGTTTAGTCCTTGATGAACCAAGTCTTCAATGATTGCAATGGTGTCAGGTACAGGAACCTTGGTGAATAAGGAAACTACATCAAAACTGACAAGCAGGTCGTCTGGGGACAGGGAAATACCCTTGATTGTTGATACCAGGTGAGTAGAATTTTGTACCGCAGAGGTGGTCTTTCCAGTGAAAGGACGCAGGATTTCAGACAAAAAACGAGCTAGTTTGTAGGTGGGGGAGCTGATAGTAGAGACTATGGGACGAAGAGGTGTATCAACTTTATGTATTTTTGGTAAGCCGTATAATCTTGGTGGCCTGGCAGCAGAAGGTTTCAACGAAAACTGTTTAGATTGATCAATTAATGCGGTTGAATCAGAAATTATTTTGTTGGTTTGTGTGACGAGGCTGTTGGTGGGATCTCTTTTTATTTTTGTATAACTACCATCGTCGAGTAATTATTTAATTTTGTTGTTGTATTCTATTTTATCCATGATGACAGTAGCATTGCCTTTGTCAGCTGAGAGATCTACAATATCATTCCTCTTTTTAAATTTATATAATTCAAAACGCTCATCTTTGCTGAGGTTGCTAGCTGGCATCTTAGCGTTTTTGAGGGTTGCAGCGATTTCAGATCTTGCTACGTCTGCAGCGATGTGACCCAGGCCCCTGAGAGCAACGTCTACTTGGGCAATTATATCATTAACTGGTATGTGTTTAGGTGTGACTGCAAAGTTTAGACCTTTAGCTAAAACGGATTTCAGACCATCGGAAATAGAACTGTTACTGCGATTAATTACGACTTTATTAACGTCTAACTTTTTGGTGTGTGGGTCCGGTCTTTTGTTGAAGAGGAGGTTAAATTTGGAAATCAGGTTTTCCTTACATTTGGTCGACATAGTAGCAGCTGAAGAGGCAGTCATATTGTCTACATGTTCCCAATCCGATGTGGACATTATTGCCGTCTCCCCCCTCCTCTATTCAGAACATAGATGGACTCGTCCTTCTAAATAAACTGCCAAGTCGCTGCCCGTGGTGCTAACGTTTTTTTAAAATAAATAAATATACCGTTTAAAAATAAATAAATGCAAACCGCCACTTCTTTCAAATGTTTCTTGCCGTTGCTTTTTACACCTGATGATGACCGTTTGTGTTATGGTCGAAACGTCGTGAGAATTTTTTTATTGTTTTATATATATTTTGTTATTTTGTTGTTTCTCTTCAACGTGACTTTACCGAAAAAACTAAGAATATGAGTCTATCGATGTTAACAACAAGGCAACAATTCTTGTTTTGTGAGATATATTTTTCAGGAGGATGTGCATGAGGATATGTTATGTGCACTTTTGTTGCCAACCAACACCACAGTTGCAGAACTATTCAAGTCTTTGAATGATTACATATGAGGAAAACGGAATTGGTCATTTTGTGTCGGTATATGCATGGACAGAGCGGCTGTCATGACTGGACGGCTTTCTGGTTTCAGTAGTCGAGTCAAGGAGGTCGCTTCTGAATGTGAGTCTACGCACTGTGTCATCCATAGAGAAATGCTGGCTAGCTGAAAAATGTCACCTGATTCTAGATTTGAAGCTTTCGTGACTGCAAGGATTCATATTCTTTGGTTTTTTCGGTAAAGTCACGTAGGTAAAACAAAATTTAAATAAAAGAAAACAACTAAATGAAATCATGACGTTTTGGAGGCAACACAAGCTTCCGTCTTCAGGTGGAACAGTCACAGCAATATAGCTGCATCAAGTGGTGAGCTCTGAGACCCTCGAGCTTATATACAGGTTAAGGTGGGGGGGAGGAGCCAAGCAAGGAGCGACGACGGCGTGCGGGGCTAAGGTTAAGGTGGGGGGGAGGAGCCAAGCAAGGAGCGACGACGGCGTGCGGGGCTAAGGTTAAGGTGGGG